AGTACCCTTTTTACTATCTATTGTTACCCAAATTCCAAGTTGGACATTTAGGGTATAGTCTCAGGTGGGCGAGAATCGGGATTGCTGGATCCTTAACCCTGGCGCCACATCATCTACTGCTATGGCTGGGTTCGAAACTGGGCTCCTGGAGATGCGCGGGTTTAGGGGTTTAGGGGTTTAGGGTTTAGGGGTTTAGGGTTTAGGGTTTTGGGGTTTAGGGTTTTGGGGTTTAGGGCGTTTGAGAGGGTTTAAGGGCTCTAGGGATTCAGGGTTTGGGATTTCGGGATGTAGGGCTTGGGGATGTAGCGCTTGGGGATTTAGGGCTTGGGGGTTTAGGTTTTTCACGGTTTCGGACGGGATTCGGATTTCGGGATTTATTAGACCCTATAAACCCCAAATCCTAAACCCTGGATTTCTCCGAAATTAGTATTGTCACAACCCCGTACTTGGATTTCGGCGTTGCTTTCTGACATTTTGGGAGCCTGCGCATATGGGAATTTCACAGGTCGGTTCCCATGTTGGTTAGGGTTTCGCGTAGAAGGTTTAGAGTTTGGGGCTGAGAAATGAATGGTAAGAATGGGCGCCCTTGGATTTGGGGCCTTACGAGCTTTAGGGGGTTAGATGTATGGACAGATGTTGCTTGTGTCCCATCCCCAAATTGAAAGAACTCTAGAACTCTCGAACCCTACACCCGTAAACCCCTAAACCCCTAAATAGCCCCAAAACCCTACGAACCGATTACCCCCCCAAGAGCCCTAGGAACCCACCCAGCTGGGTTGCTGTTAAGGAACTTAATTTAAGTTACTATATTGGGGAAACCCTATTATTTACTATATATATACCCATTATGGTAACCCTAAACCCCTAAACCCTAAACCCCCCAAGAGCCCTAGGAACCCACCCCGTCAGCCTTCCGCAGCCCAGGAGTTCATGGGTCAGCTCATGGGTCGCTTCGAAGCAACAAATTGGTGGTTGTCAAAATTAGGGTCCCGTTTTACCCCTATATTGGGATAGGATAATGGAAAATAAAATGGAAGTTACTGTATAGTATAATAGGGTATATATTAGGATATATATTGGGGGTATATAGGGGATATATAGGGATCATGGAAAAGAAAATGGAAACTACAACTATATGTGATACCCCTATAGTGGGATAATGGAAAATAAAATGGAAGCTACTATATAGTGGAATGGGGTATATGTTGTCAAAATTATGGTCCCTTTTTGGCTCCCGTGGGTTTAGGGTTTAGGGTTATATAGGGATAACGGAAAAGAAAATGGAAACTACTATTTAGGGTTTAGGGTTGGGGTAATATTGGGGTTATTATATGGGTGGTTGTCAAAATTATGGTCCCTTTTGAAGGGTACCCATAAGGTGTATAGGGGTGTATAGGGTTTATAGGGTTTTTGGGGTTTAGGGTTTGGGGGTCAAAATTATGGTCCCTTTTTGGATCCCGGCTATAATACGGCACCTAATATTTAGGATACCCAAAAAGGGACCATCATTTTGACAACCACCCAGATGTAAAATGTATTCGTAACGATCATAAGGGCCCTGTTGGAGGCTTTGAGGGGTTTGATACGGAATATAGGGGAGGGGAGCATAGGGTTTCTATAGGGGTTATATATGGGTTATACAACGGCTAATGGGGATTATATAGAGGTTATACACCCTAGGGTTTAGGCGTTAGGGGTTTTAGGAGTTCCTTTTTCGGTGGTATATCATCAGCCCTGACAAGTCCAAAAAGGAACCGAACTACGTAGGAGCCCATGGGTAGGATTCAGCAGGGAAACCGTAGGTCCCTTTACTTCTACCAAATCCTGACTTCTACGCCCAACTCCTAAAACTAGAGCTGTGGAACTTCAAGCCTTGAAACTTACACCTTGGGTACTGCCCACCCCCCAGTAACACTGTATATTAGGGGTCCTATTAAGGGCTATATATATCCATATTATAAACCCTAAACCCTAAACTATACTTATTATCCAACTGTTACTGAGAGGGGGCAGTACCCAACTTACACCTCCGATCAGACCAGGTTTGGCGCTGCGGACAGGCTCGTTGCTGTAAAGTGGGGGCTTTGAATTACGGTTTAAGGGTTTAGGGTTTAAGGTTTAGGGTTTAGGGTTTATGGTTTAGGGTACTTTGAATAGTTGGGCAATGCGTCAATCGGTTCCTGCCTAGATGCCCAGTCTCTCTCTCTCTCTCTCTCTCTCTACCTTGCACTAGCCTTAACATACTTTTCAAGAGGTCGGTCAGGAGCCCTCGGCCACCTATACACCACCATGTGAGCTACAGTCTAAACTCTTAGTATCCCCTCTTACTCACCCCTATAAAAATCCCTTATATAACCCTGTTTAAGGAGCTTAGGCTATGGCTCATGTGCATTGAGCTAGTCACTTAGTGGACGAGGCCGATCGCTCTCAGCACGCCCTTACTTGGAGACCCATGGGACTTATAGCAACTACTTATAACTGGGCTTATAACCCTAAATACAATCCCCCTAAATGGGCTTATAGGGGTTACCCCAAGTATAAGTAGGTTTACAATCCCAGTTATAAGTGCTTACTAAGTCCCATGGGCCTTCAAGTACCTTCCTTCAGGATAATTCTTCCTCGTGAGTGGTGGTGGCTGATGCAGTCCCGCGCTCACTTGTGAAGTTAGCAAGTTACCACTCCCCACCCCGTGCGTCGCGTGAAATTGCCGGAGTAGCATAAATCGTGGAGATGGGATCCTACCTCCAATTCAAACTGCCTACAGTCTTAACCCATCAACTACTGCACATGCAGTTCAGGGTTTAGGGTATAGGTATACTCCGCTTAGCTGTAAGTAATTGAGGAGAGTACTGGTATGCCCTATACCCTAAACCCTAAACCCTAAGCCCTACACCTCATGGGCGCAGGGGATCTCCTCCCGTTCGCCTTGGCGCCTTTCACATGGAAAGGCCTCGCCTGCTGAATCTTCAGGGGTTGCCATCATAAGTGAGCCATGGCCTAAACTCATTCAAGGGGCTTATACAGGGGATTATATCGGGGACTACTCTCGGGGTTATTAATTAGGGGATACTAGAAGTGTAGACTATGAATCACATGTGGTGAGTGGAGAAAAACATTGCATCACCTTGCCCGCGGAACTGAATTTTGCTGCAAGAAATTAGCCCTCCCACGCGGTGCACAAATTCTGCATCAACAGTATCCCCGTTATGCACATCTGATGCAAAGGACAGGCTGTTTGCAGGCAATTCGTGGGGTCAGCTATGGTCAGCTTCTGTCACTCCTTACAGCATAGCATCTTCGTATATGCAAGCATGGAGTGAAGGTACTGAGTCTTGGGTGTCCTGTGCAGACTGTAGACACCATTTGCTTCGATGACAAGTGCTTACGATTTTCGGCTTGCGCATCGAGGGTGGGCTTTCCAAAAGTTGTGGGTCCCCTTTTCAAAGGGCTCCAGAAGAAGGATACAGTACTTGGGGGGGAATAACGGGGGGCCCCAATTTTCGAAAACTCTCCTGGGGCAACAAAGCCTAACAGGTGGCGCACAGCCGGAAACAGAGTTGTTGCTTGATCCCGAGAATCCAAGTCTATACATACTGCCTCCTTTGGGCCCTAGACTGGATCAATGTTAGGGATCCTTTATACCTTTTTGGGGTATGGGATTCCTTATCTTTAAGTAAAAAGGATCCTTTTTTCTGGATCAATGTTAGGGATCCTTTATACTTTTTGGGGTATGGGATTCCTTATATTTAAGTAAAAAGGATCCTTTTTTTCTTCCTAGGGTACTTGGAGGCCCATGGGACTTAGTAACTATTTATAACTGGGATTATAACCCTACTTGTAAGTGGGGTAATCCTTACAAGCCCATTTCAGTTTATTATAATTAGGGTTATAAGCCCAGTTATAAGTAGTTACGATAAGTCCCATGGGCCTCCAAGTAATGTGGGCTAAGTAGAGTCGATAACTGGTCCCTGCTTGGGGCTGCTTGGATGCCTACTGGGGAGGCCCATGGGACCTACCTGAACCCCAAAAGGATGTAAAATAATTGCCTTTTGGGCTATATTTTGGGGGTTTGGGCTATTATTTTACCTACTTTGGATGCCCATGCAACCTAGTAACGCCTTATAACTGGGCTTATAACCCTACTTCTAGTCCCCCAAAATGGGCTTATAGGGTTTACTCCACGTGTACGTAGGGTTATAATACCACTTATAAGTAGTTACTAAGTCCCAAGAGCCTCAAAGTAGGTTGGCTTAAGAAATTCCTGGCATACTCCGCGGCTCCCGAGAAGAAACGGGTTCCCCGCTAGGTGGAGAATCAGATTCTAGAAGGATGGTTTTGCGTTTATGGGTTTAGGGTTTATGGGTTTAGGGTTTGGGGTTTAGGGTTGATGTGATACCTGCTGAATTTTGGCTATTGTAAGTTCAGTGTATGCAGGACCCAGAACCCTTTCCACAGGTAAGTGGAATAGTAGATTTCAGGTGAGTTTGTAACCCGTCCAGCATCTTAGCATGCCGTGCTTCAACGTTCATGGGTAGCGTAAGTGGCCATAATCAGTTTATACGACTACGAATATAACTTGCAATCATTAGCAGCTTGTTTGATGGAGGCTATTGTTCAAGTATATATTGCTACCCCCGCAAGGTTCACTTGTAACTTGTAAGCTGAACTAGGGGACTTTAACCTTAGAGCTCAAACTAGGTATTATATGTAGATATGGATGCCCAAGGTAAGCCACACTCAGAACTACGCGTGTCGTTGGAGTGAAGTTGACACATGGTAGTTTCCATAAGTAGGGGGACCCCACCATAGACCCCCAAATTACTACAATCCTTCTGTTAGGGACTCCCAAAAAGTATCCCTAATTTTGAGAAACCCTGAACCCTGAACCCCAACGCCTAAAACCTAAACCCTGTATAATCAACCCTAAACGCTAGACCCTAAATTTTTAGATACGCCCTTTGAAGACCCCCCCCCCCACGTTGTCAACTTGTCTGGAAGAGGCATTGCAGAGGACGAGCGTACCTTGGAGGACTGAGTGGCGCGGTTAAGATGTCAGGAGTTCAAGGTTTTGGGTTTTGGGTTTGGGGTTTAGGGTTTGGGGTTTGGGGTTTTGGGTTTTGGGGTTTTGGGTTTGGGGTTTAGGGTTTTGGGCTTCGGGAGGAGCAGACCGTAGCCCCTTTCATCCCGCACCCCTTCATCGAGGTTGTTTGCCAAAGTATTCTGTTTATAATCCTTGAAAGGGGTCCATGTAGTCGCCTCATATTTCCTACATATTCCTGTTGACCCTTGGGCCCCCTGCTTTCCTCTTGAAATTCCTACTTAATTCTCCGTACACTTCCAGATGCTGAATAGTCAGGGGAAGTGGAAGATTGTTATATCTGCTGTAATCACTGCAAAAAATCTATTCCCCTTGTCACTTGTTTCCCCGTCATGTTGCGTGCTTGGAGGGTCGGCGGGACTTAGACAGTAGGCGGACAGTGCGGCTAAGTGAGGTTATTCTGTGGCTTTGGAGGTACCCTAAACTCAACCTTAAACCTGAAGGTTATAAGTATACCGTACCGAGTCCGCTTGACTCTAAAGTTGTCTGCCCGCCTTGCACATGCGCAGCTGCTGCATACTGCAAAGGATAGCTTGCTGCTCAGCTTCTCATGTCAGCTATAGTCTAAACTCCTTGAAGGGGGTTATATAGGGGATAATATAGGGGAGTATTGTGGGTGTTATGAAGGGGGATACAAGGAGTGTAGTCGCGTGCCTAAGGTTAGGTCAGAAGTCTGGGCCCCAAATATGGACCCTTGGGCCTTTTAAGTGGATTCAAGGGACCCTTACCGGACCTACGTCTCCTCAGTGGTTTCGCTTGTGGGGTGTTGTTATCATTGCATGCACGTGACACGTGTCTGCATGCGGGTTCGTGGCTCCTATCTGGTTTTTCCATGTTTGTCCTAATCCCCTATCGTATAAGCCTTAAACGCTAAACTATGTAGTAGCCTCCCAAGAATGTAGTACTTGCCATTTTCTGGTCCACTGCCTTCTTCCCTAGGGTTTCCCTAAAAACCTAAACCCTGAACCCTAAACCTTGAGGGTTCAGGGTTTTTATGTCCCTAAGCCCTAACCGCAGGACCTCCGCGGCATCGACGTGTTTGCCGCTAGGCAAGTTGAAGGCTTCGACGCCCAAGGCTTGGCATTGATGTACGTGCTGTTACGGTCTAGGGCTTAAGGTTTGGGACTTGGGGTTTAGGGCTTAGAGTTGAATTTAGGATCCAAATAGCCTCATGTAGGGAATATTTCTAGACGTAGTAGGTGTTGCTTGTAGATTTGGATCCCCAGGGTTTAAGGTGTAAGGTTTGGGGTTTGAGAGTTTTTACCGTTAACCCTAAACCCTAAACCCTAAATCCTATACCCCGAAGTGCCAAGCGCCCCCTAATGCATTTATTGATCTTGGTCCCTTCCTGTACCACTCACACACTTCCAGAAGACTAGCTGAAGTGGCATGCAATCTTTGTTGCAGAGCCGCCAAAACCCTGAATCCCGACCCTAAAGCCCTAAACCCTAAAGCCCTAAACCCTAAACATTAAGCCCTAAACCCTGATGCCCGATTTCTAAATCCTCTCAAACCAGGCGGAGACGAAGACGATGAGAGGCTGGCGGCTGAAGCGCAGAGTTTAGGGTCTAGGGTTGAGGGCCTTAAACCCCTTGCATGGGGTTGCGGGTTGAGGGCTTGAGGGCCATGTCTACAATCAAGGGTATCCTGGTGTACCCCCCAGGCAGATAATAGTAGTCACAGTAGTGATGAAAATAGTAGAGATAGAATAGTAGCAAACATAGTCGTGATCTCAATAGTCGTAATAAGAGATAAGCTTTACGATAGATTTTCATTTTCCAGCTGATTTTTCTCTGGCGGTGAATATCGCAGATGCAGCCATCTTTGTTGTGTGCTGGGCTTTGTCACTGATTGCAAGCAGAGCTTGAATCCCAAAACCTTAAATCCTAATCCCTAAACGCTAAACATCTCCTTCGGTTCTTATAGCAGCTGAAATGTTCATGGATCAACGGGCAAGGTCATAGCTTTAGCGGGAAAGGTTACAATTTCAGCTGGAAGGGTCATGGGAGCAACCTCAGAGCCCTAGCCCTGGAACCCGAGGATTCACGGCTGGAGCCCTCAGGTTCATGCTCAGGCTCAGAGTTAAGGGCATATTTTGGGATAATGGAAAAGAAAATGGAAACTACTATAGTATAATGGGGTACATATTGGGTTATACAGGAATAATGGAAAAGAAAATGGAAACTACTATAATGGGTTTAGGGTTTAGGGTTGTGGGTTTAGGGTTCAGGGCAGGCTTCGAGTCAAGGGCTCAGGGCTTAGAGTTAAGGGTATAATAGGTTTCTGAACGAAGTGGGTATATGTGCATTGTTTGATAACGCTGCTTAACAAGTGCATGCTTGGACCTGAGATGCTGAACCCCAAATCCTAAACCCTAAAACCCCTAGACCCTAAATTTCTAAAATCCTAAACCCAACCCCAAACTTCTAACTAAAGTCCTAAACCCTAAAACCCTAAACTTCTAAAGTCCTAGACCCCTAAAACCCTAAATCCTAAACTCCTAAATCCTAAAACCCTACATCCTAGAGTCCTAAAATCCTAAGCCCCTAAACCCCTAAAACCCCCTATAAAGCCCTAAAACCCTTGAAACCAAAAAAAACCTATATAAACCCATGACCAACAAATACTGTGTCCAGCCTTTCGGACGAGCAAAACGCTGACGATGATGCGACCTTGTCAAGGCCGGGCCTATTGTAATATAGGTTTGGGGTTCTGGGTTTTTAGGGATTTAGGGTTCAGGGTTTAGGGTTTAGGGTTTAGGGTTCAGGGTTTTTAGGGATTTAGGGTTCAGGGTTTAGGGTTTGGGGTTCAGGGTTTTTAGGGATTTAGGGCTCAGGGTTTAGGGCCTAAACCTTAAACCTTAAACCCTAAACCGTGTGGTTCAGGGTTTAGCTATCTCATGCAGGGCATCAGGGGGGAATTCTACTTACTAGCACTCTGGGCTTTACGACCTTCATCATGTTAGGGGTGATGAAGGTGCAGAACTCGCGGACGGGTTGGGGTATATAGGGTTCAGGGTTTAGGGTTCAGGGTGTTTGGGCTTAGGGTTTGGGGTTCAGGGTTCAGGGTTGGAAACTCACAGTTCTTCAGGCCACTGTGGAAATCTACGCAGTTTCAGCTGCAGAGCCCAGCATCTGTTTGTATCACTGGCAATTGGAAAGATGCTGCTTGACTGCCTTCTGAAGGAGCTATGCCTGGGGTGTGTCAGCGTTATAAGGGACCATGGGTGGCACTGCCATAAGAATTACTTTCCCTAACTATTCCACAAAAACCTTAAACAATAAACCCTAGACCCTAAATAGTTTTGGGTGCCTTTTAAGTGCCTCCCAGAGGGTTATGTGTTGGGGTAGACAGACATAAATGGAGATCATGGGTCCCTGACAGAGGTCAGGGCTTAGGGTTTAGCATCTCCAGTCAAAGCATTCGCTTGTTAAGCAACGTTATCCAACAACAGAAAAGCACCCACCCGCCCATTGGGTCCCACATCAGTAAGAAAATGACAACCTTAACTCTACATCTTGAACCCTAAGCCCTAAACCCTGAACCCTCAACTCTAAACCCTGGACCTGAAACTCCAGGTTCTTGCCTACCGACCTTGCCCACAAAAAATGACCTTGCCCGCGAACAAAATTAGCGAACAAAATTACCTTGCCCACGAAATCATTAACATTTAAGATATATATGTAAGAGCGGTTTAGGGTTTATAGAAATTGTATAGGATTTGGGTCCCAATCAGTTTTGACCTGAGCTTTGACTTGAGTTTTTACCTCAGTTTTTCGTTTTAACTTGTCCAAAACGAGTTTGGTGCCTTGGCTTACCAAACAATTTCTGGGCCGGTTTCGGAGCTTTCCGGACCATTTGGGGCTGGTTTTGGTTGGAGCTCTCCCAGGCCATTGCTGGGCCGGTTTTGCGGCTCTCCGACCCAAAAAAACCTGAGTTTTGACCGGAGGTCTACATTAGGGCTTTGGTTTAGGGGTTAGACTTTAGGATTAAAAGCATAGATGTCATTGTCACGCATCCTCATTATGAGGATACCATTTTGGGGGGGTTATAATGGGAGCCCCGTGTAAAGACATGCACAGAAAACTGCTTCAGAAATAGCAGGCTTCAATTTCAACCCAAAACCTCGTCTGGGTTGCTGTTAAGGAGTTTAAGCTAAGTTGCCATAATGGGTATATAGGGTATATAGGGTATATAGGGTATATAGGGTTTAGGGCTTCGGGCTTAGGATTTAGGGTATATAGGGTATAGGGTTACCACAATGGGTAATTATACATAGTAATTAATATGGTTTCCCCAATATAGTAATTCAAACAAAGCTCATTAACAGCAACCCGAACCCTCAAACCCCAAACCCTGAACCCTACCTAGACCCTCCAATGTAGTTCTTTTTTGGGTTTGGTATGGTTTTTTGGTTAGGATTCTTCTTAGGACTACCAAAAAAGTACTACATTGGAGGGTCTAGGTAAGCCCTAAACCCTAAACTCCAAAAAACAGCAACCCAGTCATCCTTGAACCCAAGAAATTTAAAACCCGACGTTTAGAAGGGCTGCTGCTAACGAACTGGAATTAAGTGGTTTGGGATTTAGGGCTCTAGGGCTTAGGGTTTACCGGAACCGCCAAAGTATGTAGAATACTAGCCTTTTGGTCTGTTTTTTTGGATTTTTGGGCTATTACTCTAGGGTTTGGGTATATACTATGAAAAGGAAACTTCAGTATTTTTCTATACACCCATAAAGAGGTAACTTAAGTCAAATGAAGTTCCTTAAATGCAACTCAGTTCAGCTTTAACAGCAGGGCGGAACGACTACTTCGACGCCGACTAAGCTTTGATTCTCTGCAGCTGGTCTTGTGAACGGGTTTGCCTTTGGATCTTGGTCAGGGTTCAGGGATGTTATCCCGATAATGGAGAATCAGATGGTAAAGAACATGGAACATGAGCTGGAACATGTGGGTTTGAAGCGGTTGTAGTCATACTTGGAGGTTGTTCTTGGGAACTCAGTAAGTATGTTTATAATCGGAGTGGCGGGGGATATTGTATGGTTTTTAGGGGTTATGTAAGTGTATGAGTATACTTACTAATTCCCCCCAGAACCTCCAAGCAGGGGCTTGAACACTGTAGATGGAACTTTTGTAATGGGTTCAGGGTGTCTAGTTGGGGTATTCGCACCTAAAGACTGGAATCCAAAACCTTGATTTTGATTTCGACGTATACTAGGTTGCGACTCCATGATCGTTATAGGTGGATAAACTTGAGGAAGCTGACCTAAACCCTGAACCCGCTACACTACCCAGAAGGTTGGTTTCAGGTTCACGGTTCAAGGTTTAGTTTTAAGGCTAAGGGTTCAAGATTTATAGTGAAGACGTTGGGGACAGGCTTTAATTGGTCGATGGTTGAGGTGAGGCGACTTGCAGTTTACTTGCCCCCTCAGGAGCCTAAAGCCTGCAGAGAAAGTTGAAAGGAATGTGTGGGCAGCACCTATACCGAAATCTCCTTTAAAACGCTGGGTGGGTAAAAGGTTTAGGGTTAAGGAACGGATTCTGCAACTACCGTTACCCCCAGTCCCTCAAGCTGGAGCAATGCGTGCTTGAAGGCTGAAGTGTAATTTAGGTTTATGTTTAGGGTTTAGGGTTTCTCATTGCCGATTCTCCTAGTTATCTCCCCACGAATGTCTGCAAGTGGCTTCTCCAGTGCACCGAAAACCTCCAACTCAACCCTACAACCCTGCATCGTATGCTCTTCGCGCTCAACAATTCTCATGACTAGAAGGTATATACCCTAACCTCAGGCACCCTCCCACCAAACTCAGAGTGAAGCCCCACAAAGGTACCTCTTAAATGGGCAGTAGCCCTTGTATGGAGCAGAGAGGCTAGACCCGCCGCCAGCTTCTTCATAGGGCCCCATTTTCTAGTTTCCCACAAGAAGGGGGCCCCAATGTAGACCCCAAAATCTTCTAGTCCTTAGCATAGGGACGCCCCAAAAAAGGTACCCTAACTTTGGGGGAACCCCAAATTTTTGTAGTCCTTATTAAAGGGACCCCCAAAAAGGTACCCCTAATTTTTGGGAACCCCGATTTGGGTTTCTTTGTATCCGGGCTGGGGTGCGTGTACTGCAGCTCAGGCAGCTAGCCGCCCTGAGACGTGGCCTCGCCTCGGCAGCCTTGTCTGCATATGACCCCTTTTTCTAAACTGGATCAATGTTAGGGATCCTTTATACTTTTTGGGGTATAGGGTGCCTTCTATTTATGTAAACAGGATCCTTTTTTCTCCCTAGGGTAATGTGGGCCAAGTATAGGTAACCCTCAACCCTAAACCTTAATTAAGCCCTAACCCTAACCCCTAAACCCCTGTACCCTAAACACTAAACCTTACACCCTAAACCCCTAAAGCCTGAGCCCTAAGCCCCTAAAACCTTAAACCCTAAATCCTAGTGTCCTGCAATAGTCCAAAATCTGCAGAGCTCTACTTCATTCCTTAACCGTCCGTACACAGAGATGGAGGCTTTTGTTAGGGACCCTGTTTGCCGGGGCCATGTAAGAAGGGTTATACTGGACCATGGTTAGGGATCCTTTTTGGGCATCTTAAATTATGTACAAAGGATCCTTTTTTCTTCCTTGGGTAATGTGGGCTAAGAATAATCTTGCGAAGACTGGGGACCCCTATGCATTCCTGGAGTTTCCTAAACAGGTGACCCGCAATCCTTTTTCAAATGCCTTTGCTACCTCAACCCTGAACCCTAAACCCTTAAATCCAACCTTAGCCCTTAAACCCGTAAACCCTTAAAAGCCTTACACCCTTAAACCCTTTCAATCCTTTTACCCTAAAACCCTTTAAACTCTTGAACCCTTACACCCTAAAGCCCCACACCCGACCAAAGGTGGTGCCTATCCATCTGCTGCGGCTATGGCGGTGGCAGGAGACCGGGCATCGGCATGAGCCATCAATGGCCCAGAATGTGGCTGCTACTAGCTTCGGGCTTACTGTGTAATGGTAAGTGTACATTAGGGGCTTGAGGGTTTAGGTTTTAGGGTTTAGGGTTTGGGGTTTGGGGCTTGGGGGTGTTACCATTACTTAGGGTTTTTGGGTGGTAATTTGAGCTTAGAAGAATTTTGAAGTTTGGAGATTAAGGAAGTTTGAGAACCATAAGTATGGGCGTGAGGGTTCATTGTTTGGATTTATGGTTTGAGGACGTAGGGGTCAGGTTCCCCAATGTAGTAGTGGGATCCTCTTTTTGTTTTGGGCGGGGGGTCCATGTTTTGGATCATTTAGGGGTCTGGATATGTGATATGGTGGCCCACATTCTCTCTTCTATTCACAAGCTTTCTACCAAAACTAGGCGTACCTTTTGGGGTCGGATTACGGTATTTTGGGGGTCTAAATTGGGGTCTCCATAGTTATGGTAATTACATACAGCACAGCACGAGAATAAGAGTGGCTGTCATCTCTGTGTTGTTGTTGACATTCGCTAAACCCTCAACGCTATAGCATAGAGTATAGGGTTTAAGGTTCAGAGTCACAATTGGCCTGCAGATCCAGGGTAAATCACGCGATTTGACCCCTGCAGGTCGCAGAATTGGCTCTGATTGTGAGCCCCCAGTAGTGCTCAATGTGGTCACAGTGAGAACGCTTCAGAATCAAACCCTAAACCCTAAACCCTACTTATGAACTTATTTGCCAGAGCTTGGGGGGAGGATTTGCGTCGGCGCGTTTGCGGGAACGTGATGGTGGACTTAGAGTGCCTCAAGCAGCACACGGTCTACAAGAGCCGCGGCTTGCAACTTGAGTTGTATCTTATTTGGGGATACTATGTTACCCAATATATCATGAGATTATATCCTCCTTTTGGATATAGCAGTTGATATTTTACATAAAGAATATACACAATCTTACTGGCGTCAACCACCTAAACCCTCAACCCTACTCACTTGTATTCTGTGATGTGTCATGCTGTCTTCGAACTGTTAACGGTATGCTGTAGGGTGGTCTAAACATCATAGGCCTTGTCTGTGGGTCCTCTTACCTAGAGTCCCGTACTGGTGCGTATATAGCTGGCACCCCAGAATTTTGAAATACCCCTGTGGCCGCCCTGAGTTAGTCAAAGTTTATCCAACAGGATGGAAGTTGGGCATTTTTGACATGCAGCCTACTAATAGGGTACTTCCCAAAAATAGGGTTCCACCTTGGTACCCCTGAATATTAGGTGCCGTCAAACAATAAGTAACGAATTTTCAGAAGAACCCATCTACTCTCATCCTTCTGGTAGTCAGGAATTGTGCCGACACGGACACTCCCATCGTGTTCCTGTGGCAGGCGCAGAATTGTCCGGCTGTTACTGCCCCAACCCTGTAACATACAGATAGTATCGATGATGTAGTTCTATGGCAGTTTCCCAAAATAGGGGGACCCCAATATAGACTCCAATATAATATAGTCCTTGTTATTGGGACCCCCCAAAATGGTACCCCTAATCTGGGTAAACTCCCATATATAACCCTTAGACTGTTACAGGGCGGGGGCAGTACCCAATGCAGAGCAGACACGCCAACAACATCTTGAGGCTTCTGGTAACAAAGGATTTTAGCAGCAACCTGGAAGTAGACAAGAAGTAGGGCTCTTACTATTATGGTCTTTGTTGAGGTACATAAGGTTCCTTAGGAACATGGCTGAGTGTTTATATGTCGTGTCCAATGTGGGGGCCTTAAATTACACCAGGGTTCAGATAGGGTTGAGGGTCAGGCGTGTAAATGGACTGCTATACTATAGGGACCTGAAGGTTTAGGGTCTAGGATTTAGGACAGTTGTCAGCTAAGCCCGGACGTAGAAAAAATATTTGTTGAAGAGGACCCTAGATTCCAAAACCCTACACCCTAACCCCTATCATGGCTGTTGATGCGTCCCAAGGCAACATGATTTCCCAAACAGAAGGCTCCTTTTGCTGGCAGCATGTAGCGTATAGTGTAGACTTTCCTTCAGGGCTTAGGGTTTCACGATTGCCCTAAACCCTAAAACCCTAAACCCTAAGCCCTAAACCCTAAACCCTTGGTGTTTGGGGGTGGACTAAGGCTCTGGACACCTGAAAAGGATTTGCAATGACCTAAACACCAAAAGTATGTAAAATAATAGCCCTACACCCAGAACAATAGCCATAACCACCATTATTTTACATACTTTTGGCGTCCAGGTAGGTGTCAAAGCTAACCCTAACCAATGGTTGGGGTTTAGAGTTTAGGGTCCAAGCCCTGAACCCTAAACCTCATAGAGTTATTATATTTATGATATATATATATATTAATATATTATAGATATAGATATGCGACACTCTGCTCTGGGTCTCTGTTCCTTTTGCTATTTCAGGGCCCAGGCAACCTCCAAAATAGTGTCCGTAAGGCGGACGCAACATATTAGAGACCCCAAATTGCGATAATCTTTAGATAGGGACTCCGAGAAAGGAGCCACCAATTCTGGGAAACACCCCAAGATTTTCAAAGGGACTCCCTATATGCGATCCGGAGAGCTCTAGAGTCTCCAGCTGTCGCAAAGGTGTAGAGCGCCATCCCTCTAAATAGGGTTTAGGGTGTAGGGTTTAGGGCGCCACCCCTCTAAACCTCAATGTTTGGTCTCGCTCTTTTGGTGCCTACAGTTGGGGGGGGTTACCCTTTGTCCAAATCAAATTCCCTTGTACACAATATGGTAGTTTCCATTTTCTTGTTCCTGCTCCAAAACGCCACTATAACCCCAATGTAATCCGTGAAGCCTAAACCCCAAACCCTAAACCCCAAACCCTAATCTCTAAACCCTATATAATCCCTAAATCCACGGAAGTATGCAGGTCTTAGAGGGATTTTCACAACAGCAGCGACGCTCCTTCCTGCGAAGCTTGGCTGCAACCTGCTACTTGGAGGCCCATAACATTTAGTAACTTCTTATAACTGGGCTTGTAAGCCTACTTATAATCCCCCTAAATGGGCATATAAGGGTTCCCCCAATTACAAGTAGGGTTAGAATTCCAGTTATAAGTAATTACTAAGTCACATGGGCCTCCAAGTAGTGGGCGGGGGGGTTCTGGGCCAAGCAGCTGAAGCGCCGATGAGGGTTTAGGGTTTGGGGTTTAAGGTTTGGGCTTTCGGGTTTAGGGCTCAGGGTTCAGGGTTTACGGCTTAGGGTTTAGGGTCTGAGGTGTAGGGAATGCTGTCCCCACGCTGAACCCTAAGCCGCGAGAAGTGTTGCCACATGGGCAGAGGGGCCTCGAGTATTCCCAACAGCTGCTTGCAAGTCTCTAAAACAAAATCGGCAGGTTCATAGGGTTTGGGGTTTCTGGATCAATGTTAGGGATCCTTTATACTTTTTGGGGTATGGGATTCCTTGTATTTAAGTAAAAAGGATCCTTTTTTCTTCCTAGGGTAATGTGGGCTAAGGTTTAGGGTTTAGAGTTTTTGTTGGTGTAAGTGGGATCCAGTTTCATGTCTAGAGGTCATATAAAAGCTTTCAAGTTTCGGCAAGCAGTCGCTTATCAGCCAACAAGAGCAACATGATAACATCCCCCAAGTTGCTATTCTAGCTTCGCATGTTCTACAACTACGGTTCATCGTGTTCATGCAGCCCACTCCTTTCCCAGCATAATGTACCCCAACAGAACTCGAACTGAACTC